GATTGTAAGGCGAACAGGCCATGAAAAGGGTAAGAAATTAGGGGGAAGAGATTTTTCTTTTTAGTTTTATAATAGATAAGTCAATTTCTTGAATGATAAACGAAACCTCTAGAGATATAAATAGAACAGTGAAGCGCTGCTATGAGATATGACATTCTCTTCCATTTATTCAATAAGCACTTCATAACTCACTCGAGGCTGGCAAGTTCCATATAATATATTAATATAAAGACTTAGGAATAATGTCAACAGTCCCCTTCGCCTACAGATTAAAAAAACAAAACAAAACATAGGAACATAATGGATTAACTCCAAAGTTGCTGAGTTTAGATAGATAAATAAACAGGAAAAAAGACAAAGGTACACATAGGCCAAAGCCATACATATTCTCTACCTGTGCAATACACATTTATGTTTTGGACAGAAACAGTTCACGTCTAGGGCTTTAAATTTTTTTTTAATCTAGACCTTATAACATTTATCTTTAATTTAGTCTGACTTTTCCCTAGTATAAAAAGATCCAAAGAAAATGTTTGTAGCCTAGGTTCAGTGCTATTCGATGTTGCATGGACTAAGGACATTTAGAAATGTAAACTGGGGGTGAGGTATCACCACCAAAACTGTCACCTCCGTGCTCCACGAAAGGAGAAAAACTATAATCATCTTCCACTCCACTAAATAAGTAGATTTAAATTGTAGAATGCAGCTGCCCCCATCAATTACGTGTCAGTTATCTTTGCTTATTACAATTTACATATAAGGAATAATACCCTAGTAATCTGGAAGAAGGAGCCTTTGTGTCTCAGTGGATAAGCACTCAGCTGCTAATGGAAATGTCGGCAGTTAGAAAGATGTGGCAGTCTGCTTCCATAAAGATTACAGCCTTGGAAGCCCTATGGGGCAGTTCTGCTCTGTCCTATAGGGGCGCTATGCATTAGAATTGACATGACAGCAATGGGTTTTGGTTTTAATTTGGAAGAAGGAGTCCCTGAGTGAAGCACGTAGTTAAGCACTTGGTTACAAACTCATCCAGAGGAGCCTCAGAAGTAAAGTCTTGGCGATCTGCTTCTGAAAGGTCACAACCATGAAAACTGAGTGGAGCACAGTTCTACTCTGCACACATGGGGTCGCCATGAGTCAAAATTGACACCATGGCAAATTGTTTTATTTTTTTTTAATCTGGGAGAATTAGTAGTTTCCAAGATTCATGCCTTACAGAGTTTATGAAACAGGTATTAGGAGGTGCAGATTTATTTTCCTCTCTCCCCTGTGTCTCTTCTTCGTTAGGTAACATATTTGCTTACTTAAAGACCCACTTCTCTCTTTCACTTTGAAATTTTTGCTAAGCCAGTTAGTAACTTAATATGGCATTTACTTTTATGTGTGTAAAAAATTGCAAAGCTTTCATGAGTGAGTCCATAAAAAAACTCATAATTATAGTGTAAATATTTTGATATTGACGTTATTTATTTAAACAGTATTTAACCTGCACTTAATATCCCTGGTGGCACAGTGGTTAAGAACTCGGCTGTTAACCCAAAGGTCAGCAGTTCAAATCCACCAGCCACTCCTTGGAAACCCTATGGGGCAGTTCTACTGTCCTATAGGGTTGCTATGAGTTGGAATCGGCTCGATGGCAATGGGTAATATCACTACACTCAGCTTTATTTTTAAAATTGCCATTTAGCAAATGAAATCTATTATCTGGGTATATTAAAATTAAGAAATAAATGTTTGGTCAGCTTTCACTTTGAAAAATAAATGTAAGGCGAACCCTTTGATAATACTTTAGATATTTTAACCACACTGGCCTTAACTGGTAGTCTTATGGTACTGGCATGGGATTTGCATTTAATATCAGGGCATCAAGTTAGGTAAAGTAGAGGGTCAGCAAAAACAAGGTAAACCCCCAATGACATGGATTGACACAATAGCCTTAACAATGGACCCCAACATACCAGTGATCATGAATGTGGTATAGAAAGGACCAGGTAAGATTTTGTTCTGTTATACATTGGAAGACGACAAGCTAGAGCTGACTTGATGGTAATTAACGACAACAACATATTTAAGATAAAGAACACTGATCATAATCTTTGAATGTGCAAACCTAGATGTCATCACCCGAGTTTAACCATTCACTAGCAAAACTGAATTTTGCATGAAATCTCAGAGAATCTTAGAATTTGAAGCTTTCTCTTAAAGGTCATTTTGTTTCATCTTATATCTAAGGGTGAATACCCTTTAAAAAAAAAATTCTGAAAAGCAGTTGCTCAGTTAGAAATTTGAGTGACTGATTCTGAATGGTGTTTCTAAAGGCCTATTTGAAGCGGGGCTAAAAGGGGACATGAGCTTTTGCTATAGGACAAGGGTGCCTTAGGCCATGGCCTTTCTCTAAGTCAGGCGGAGCACACTCTCTTTGAGACAATCTCCTTGTTTTTTACACCCTGAAAGCTTTGGAGATTTAGAAAAAGGCATCTTCTTGCAGGTGTCATGGAAAATAACAAAGTAATCTTGCAGTTGTTTGCCTCTGAAGAGTGAGAATGTATTGTTTTACCTGTACTGATGACACAATCTCAGAGAAGTAACATTTCTGAGTCTCTAAGATGAAGGCCTGCTTCTATTAACTGTAGCTTCAGCTCCTATTAGCTATTCTGAAAGTAGCAGCACACTCTTACTGAGTAGGTATTGTGCTCAATTCCCCACACGCGTTCACACTAGCTGTAAGGAAGCCCTGTCTCCCTCATTCACTAAGATATGAGAAGAATTTGTTGCCATCTCTGTCATTCCACTGAATTTATGTGCTTGACCATTTCCTGTCTGAATAGAATGGTTAAGGCACACCCATCCCAATATTACAACCTTAATTAAAATATATATATATAGGTTGAGAAGCAGCAGCTGTTCTTCTTTGGTGTGATCCCTCATTCTACATAAGTACAGTTAATTTATTTTTATTTTTATTTTTTACATTTTTGTCAATTAAATTTTATTTTGGGTTTTCTGTGCTAAAAATAGTTAAAGGTATGCCTTGAAGAAATCTGCCCTTTCTCCATTCCCTATTATCAGTGGATTCCCCAGCAGGGCAAAACTGCCAATAGTTTAGGGTTATGTATTAGTGAGCTGTGGAAGTTCTTTATCATTCATTAATCTGATTATCATCCTATGTCATTGCTTAAATGTTTAACAGGAAAGGGTAAAGAAAACTACGAAAGCCTATTCTACTGTGACACTAAGTTGTTAATTAATGTCTTCTTAGTAATAGCATAGCCTGGAATTGAAGAGCAAAATCTATGGAGTCAAAAGCAGGTATGAACACGTCCAAACTCCCTGAGGGACTGAATTGCTGGGCGGGGGGCTGTGGGGACCATGGTCTCGGGAAACATCTAGCTCAATTGGCATGACACAGCTTATAAAGACAATGCTCTACATTCTACCTTGGTGAGTAGTGTCTGGGGTCTTAAAAGCCTGTGAGC